TTGGTTCTTTTCTGTAACTCGGAAATATACTCTTTGTTCCAGCGTTCCCACATATGTTGTGATAGCTGTTGTGTCAGCTGATAGCGTGTAAGTCGATTTATCGGGATGCTTGTGAATTGTTTTTCGCCTGTTGTGGTTATTGGACGACCAATAAGAAAATGCGCTGGGGTTAAAGCTGTGTAATCATTGGGATCGGCTGACAGCGGCGTCAATGGGCGCGAATTTATTATTGCCTCAATTTGGGTTAATAACGAATAAAATTCTTCATAAGTAAGGTGTGCATTTGATATAACTCTTTTGAGATGATGTTTAATTAATTTAACTCCTGCCTCCCAAAGACCGCCAAAATGTGGCGAATAAGGAGGTGAGAATTTCCATTCTATCTCGTCTTTAGACAATGAATTAACGATACTAGACTTATTTAATTTAAGAAATGAGCTAAGTTCTTTAAAATCCGCACTTGCAGAGACAAAATTCTTACCATTGTCCGAGAAAATTTGTCGGGGTTTTCCCCTACGTGACATAAATCGTTTTAGTGCTAACAAAAATGTTTCCTTGGATAAATCCGTAACAACTTCAATATGTACCGCCTTAGTACTAAAACAAACAAATATGCAGATGTAACCTTTGATTAGTTTACAACCGCGACCCTTTCGGTCTCGGAGTAAGTACGGACCTGCGTATTCAACGCCGCTTACAACAAATGGTGGTCCGGGAAATAGTTTTTGATAATGAAAGTAATGAAAAATAAGCCTTGTAAGCGGGTGATTAGATGCAATTATACTTGGATGTCGTTTTTTGTAAGAAAACTGAGAATTTTTCAAGCGACCCCCCACGCGAAGAACACCTTCTGTGTCAACAAATGGAGATAAATTTTTTAATTTGCTTGAGTTTTTAACAGGGGAATTGTTCGTTAATGGTTGTATTTCTTCGTAAAATGTTTTTACTTTGGGATTTGAATTAAGTTTTTTCTCTAAATTAAAATATCGATTTCGTGATAGATAGGAATTACCTAATTTTTCGGGGGGGTTATTAAAAGGAAGGGCTACTATAAATTTACCCGTGGAGTCTCGTCGAGTAGCACTATGAAAATGCTGTTCGCAGGCAATCTCTTCTTTTGATAAAATTTGCCTTTCGGCAATTTCCTCTAATTCCCAAAATCGCGCTAACTGATTTTGAATTTGAGTTTCGGCAGATGAAGTTAAAAAATTGCACTTTACTTCGTTGCGCGCTGGAAATGGTACAAAGTACGGCCCTGCTACAACCCAACCGAATAATGTTTGGTGCATTATTGGTTTGTTTTTACCTAGACTAAAGGTGTTTTGACCCACAAGGCTCCAAAACAGGTCACTTCCGATAAGGATGTCGATTTTTTGGGGTTTAGCAAACATGTGGTCTGCCAACGGTAAGTTCTCTGGGATGTTTAAATTTTTTGTATTTAAGGGCGCAGACGGTAGATGACCCGAAATCTGGGGAACAATGAAGCACTGTAGTTGTGCACAAAAATCGTTTATTTTAGATGATAATTTTAAATTGCACCTTTCCTCTAATTTGCGTGAAATATTTGTTATGCCGGACACTGTCCAATCAACCTGCTCGGTTGCAATACCCAATTTATTATGCAATTCGGCAGATAAAAATGAACTTTGTGAGCCGGAATCCAGAAGTGCTCTGGCTGTATGCATTTTATTGTATCTGTCATAAACGTTTATTAGAGCGGTTGGTAAGATTACCTGGCATTGTACCGTGTTGTTAGAGAATGAACAATTTGTTAACGAAGTAGATGGCTCGATTGTGGTTAAAACGACAGGATTAGAGGTAGTTTCACGTGAGCGATCATTGCCTTGAACGCGATTAATATGTAATAATGTGTGATGCCGCCCGTTACATGTCTTACAAGAAATAATGTGACGACAATTTCGGCTGTCGTGGCCAAGTTTCAAACAATTAACGCATAAATGCGCATTTTTTGCCTTTTCGCCTCTTTCACTCGCTAATGAATTCATGAAATCCTTGCAATTATATATTATATGGGAATTTTTGCATATGGGACAAACCAAGCCTTAAGGCGCATTGTTAAAATTCTTGTTTTGATTTACAGGGTGTTTATTTGAATTAAAATGTGAGTTTGAAGTATGGTGAGATGAATAATGATTGCGTGTGTGATTAAATGCCCCTCTTAAATTATTATTGTATGAATTGTGGTAATGAGACCTTTTGTCTGCTTGATTATTTTCTAAAGTTTCTAATAAATCTGCGCGGGACTTTAAAAATGTTTTAAGATCATAAAATGTAGGTACCTCTTTATTAGCGTTTGATTTGGCGTTTTCCCATTCGCGTAAAGTGGATGAATCTAGTTTGGTTGTTATAATGTGAATAAGTAATACGTCCCAGTGATCGGTTTGTTGGCCCATTTGTTTTAGGGAATGTAGATGTTTAGAGTAAGTGTCGATTAAATTGCGTAATTTGTATGATGATTCTTTATGCATTGGTTCTACGTTAAAAAGTGATTTTACATGATTTAGTACTAAAAGGCGTTTGTTATCATACCTTTCGCGAATAAGATCCCAAGCTACAATGTAGTTGCTGCTTGTGAATTCAATTGAACGGACAACTTGTGCGGCACCAGCTTCCAAGGATGATCTTAAGTAATGAAATTTTTGAATGTTATCCAAGGCCTCATTTTTATGCACTAACGATTCAAATAAATCCGCAAATTCTAACCAATTTTGGTAAGAACCGTTAAATTTGGGAATTTCAATGGGTTTTAATTTTATGCCTGTAAATTTGAAAGTATTGTTTTCATGAGGGCTGTGTACAGGGTTGCTCGTAATTAAATTAGTTCCGGACTCATTGTCTAAAGATAATGTAGATTCTTTTATAATATGTTTTGCTGTTGCTATTTGCATATGAAAATTAGATTCGAATGTATCGCGCTCTTCATATTCGATTTGCAATAAACTTTCGTCGGTTGTTTTGTCTTCAATTAAACCCTGTATGTTTTCAAACTCGAAAATTATATTTTTTGAATGATTTAAACGTTCTTGCAAAGTTAAAATGTCTACGTCAGCGAGATGATCATTCCTTTCTTGTATGCTTGCTAAATATTTTACAAAATGTGTGACTTTAGCCTTAAGGGCGCCACGTTTTCTTTTTAATTCTTCTAAAGAAAATGATGTAAGAACTGACATTTTTGCGAGCTTTTTTGATTAATGATAAATTTAATGAAATAATGAATTGCGATGATTAAAATGCGTAAAATTGTGTTATGTTAATGATGCATATGATTATGATTTAATAAGATTGCATTGCACAACCCTAGCTCTAGAAAACTTTCCGTTAAAAATCCCAAATTGGAGCGACAACAAATTAGCACTAATGAATGTATGAGAGGAACGACCTCACCTGATGATTTGTAATGTAGTTGGCTACTTTTGACTTTGGGCTTCGTGCTTCTAGGGTCCAGATGTAAAATGTTGTTAGAGTGATAATCCTTTGCTGATGAGTAATTGCGTTTAATGTATTGATTTCTAGAGATGCTTGTTGTGTGCACTCGCGTAAGTCACTATTTTTAGACCCTTGTCCTTGTTACACGCACAAAACTTTTCGATGATTGATGATTTGAATTTTAATTGTTTATGCGAATAATCACTTGTTTTTATTTTCACTTAGATTTTTTACTATCCGGCTCGAAGGACCATAATGTTCGTTGCGTTGAGTATGTTGAGTATGTTGCGCGATTAAAAGATGGTTTAACAAAAAACAAAACTTTATTTTAACATGGTTGTGTATATGACTAAGTTTAAAATCTTAATCTTAAAATACTAAAATCTAGGTATAAAATACCAAAAAGGGGAGGGCGTTGCAGCCACTTGATGGCTAATATCTTCCAGATGTCCTAGCAGAATTGATTCTCCCTTTTCTTGGTAATTGCTTTTACTTGTAAATATTATGCACTTGTTAAACAGATAATTTATAATATATGGGCCAAGCGTAAACAATTATACTATAATAGTATAATGGTATTACACTATAATAGTGGTTTTTGGGTATGCCAAATTAAAAAACACTATCTGTTTTTAAATTTAAAAAATTCCTAGTAACTTCTAACTTTTTTGGAGAATCATATATAGAGGGAATGAAATATGGCAATTTTTGTTTAAAAGATAGATCTTTTCAAACTAAAAATATATTTTTTAAATCCGTCTATTTTTAAATTATATTGTCGCCAATCTATATATATATATATATATATATATATATACTTTTAAAAACTTTTTTAACAAAATTTTTCCACATGTCAAAAGTGACAGGTGACAGATTTTAAAAATAAGAAGTGACAGATATCAGATTTAGGCTATAACAGATGTCAAAAATGACAAATGTAAATAATGACGGCTTTCATTTCATATGGCTCATTTTGAAATTTGTTCTAGCTTATTTTTGACATCTGTTACCTATTATTTTTTTAGAAAATCCTATGCTTATGCAAAAACAATAAAAGATTCACAAATTCTATTAATTAGTTAATTTATTAACTAATTAATATTATTAATATTAATAATAAAATTAACAAATTGTCATTAACAATTTGTTATGACACGTTAATATAAAATATAAAATATAATAATAATCCTTAATATTCAGGATACATTACTTTTAACAATCAATACCTAACGGAGTTTTAATAGGTGATCTAATGTTTAGTAATGTTTATAACCATAATAATTATTTTACAGTAGGTACTAATTTAAAAAATCTGTAATTTTGTAAAATAAGGTTTTATAATTTTTTCCAGTTTTTGGCACATACTACGTTTTTACACCACAGCATTCAATTGTTTTTATAAAACTAATTTATATGATGGTTATTTTAACAATTTTATTTACCTAACTAAGTATATCAATCTAAATTCTATACTACCATTAAGTTTATGCAATGATAATTAAAATATATGTGTGTTTCTACTATTTCTAATGGTTATCCTTTATTATTTTTAGGGTAACATTTGGCAACAATTGCTGTCATTTCATTTCATTTTAGAAATAATGAATACCATACCTTTTACATTAACAGTAAGTATAAAAGTTATTTTGTTATTTGTATAAACGTTTTTTTATTTTATTTTACTTTTGTATTATGGTACCTATTTCCCAGTAATAAATTTATAATTTTTTTATACAGTGTGGTTCTCACTTGTGGAATAAGATTCGTTATTCCATGAGACTTTTTTTTATAAAAAACTTTAGCAGAGTTGTTCTAATAACGAATTTTATTCCATAAGTAAGAATCAGACCGTATAATTTTTAAAAAATTGTTAAATAAATAAATATTTTTGCATTAAAATTATTATTTTCAATTTTTATTCTTTAAACCGTTTAAGATAAAGTAATATTTTGTTTGTTTGTTTCAGCTTTTTTATCCTCCCCTAAGGAACGTTTTCATTCCAGTATTTTTAAACTGTTGGTTGGCGAAACATTCGCTGGAAAATATGTTTGTGAGTATTTCTAAAGTTAACAATATTTTTATTAATAAATTTTATAATTTATAATGTCTCATCATAAAATGCCATTTTTTTAAACAATACCTACACGTTTTAAATTTGCGATGCCCAATTAAAATTCAATATTGATTTTATTAGGCATATCCAGTTCACTGGATTTGAACTTCATTGATATTGTAACTCTAAAAATAGAAACTAGAATTCATGTGATTTTTTTATTTTCATTTTATATATTGAGTCTCTTTAGATAATTTCTTAGAAGAGTGTCCACAATGTACAGTGATCGACAAAAGTATGGAACAAATTCATTAAAAAAAGTGCCTTTTTAATTTCCTACACTTTTATGTAAATTTTTTATATTTGCTGCCATTTTTGTGGAAGCTATTACCCGTTGGTTTCTTGACAGTTAGCAAGCCTATCCGAAAATTTTCTGAGAACGTTTTTGATGACTTCCGCACTAATAAAGCGATATTCTTCACGAATTTGATTTTTCAAGCCTAAATTTTGTGGTCTGTTGATATAAGGTAGCCCATAAGAAATAATCGAGAGGGTTGAGATCGGGAGATCTCGCTGGCCACTCTATCGGTCCTTGTTTGTTCTACCTCTCACTCAGGAAAACTTGTGTCCAAACAATTATAAAATTTGCCATTTGATTTTGTGAAATTTTTTTGTTTACGAAATTGTTTTCTGTCGCATATTATTTTTTTATTTCTTGTAGAACGATCTCCACCGTGCCATGCAGAAGTCGCAGTCCGCCCTTTCGCAGCAGCTGACAATATTGTCGGCAACTTTGGTGTGTCTGGTGTTTACAAGGTAAAGAACAACTTGCTTAGTCTCTAGAGTGCAGTTTTCGAACAAGAGCATGTCGGTTCAAGTTACACTTTAATTGAACTCTATCAAAACAGTCCGCATAGATTGGGATAGCCTGAGGAGAATACAAATCTTTTACTTCTGTACTTTTAAGAATATTAGATTTGGATTCTAAAAAATATTCTTTAAAAAAATTATTAAACTATTGAATCCAAATTTGACCTCAGAATTTTTATACATAAATATAAAAAATTAAAATGCGTGTTTTATCGTATATAATACCACTAGTGGTAAAATTTTACCGATAAAATTTTTGATTTTTATACGAATGTTTTTTTCTTGGAAATTTCGCAAGTGGCATTAATTTTTAAGACCACGAGCCGCTAGGCGAGTGGTTTGAAGTTAATGCCACGAGCGAAATTTCCAAGAAAAAAACATTCGTATAAAAATCAAAAATTTTTTCAGGGAAAATTTTATCACGAGTTGTATTCGGCAAGACTATTTCACGAATATTTTTAACTGCTGATTCAATTTCTGTATGATTTTTTGGACCAAAACGCATATTTTTTAACATTTTAATTTTAAAATTAGAAACGTCAACAGTGACAATCATTTTTATCATAGCAACCAATTGGTTGTTATGCAACTCGTATAAACGAGTGGTTTTTTCACCTGAATAGTAGTTTTATCGCTGCAAAACTTAAAAAACCACTCGTTTTCTGAAATCTGATTGGTCCAAAAAGTAATGAGTGGAATAGTCTAATTAATAAATTTTCCATGATTTTTTTAGATTTTTTTGTCCTATAGTTTTTGAACTGTCGAATTTACAAAAATTTTACCATTTTTATTAATCGTCCATGACTTTTTGAAAAATTTATTGATTTGGATATTTTTTCAAATAATTCGTATTTTAATGTGTTATGTTAAAAACTACTGCATTTCTGAACTACTCAGTGTGCGGATTTTTAGTTGACCTAAAAATACATACAGTGTGTTTCAGCCAAATGGAATAAATTTGATAATATATAAATGGATGCGTACTCACAAGAGAATAAAGAATTTTTGTACAGGGTATGTGTAGCAGTGGCCAATACCAACTTTCTTATTTCAAATGCATCACCCTATATATCAAGCATATCAAGCAATTTTTTAAAATTCCAAAATCGGTTAGTTGGTTCTTTGATATTATTGATTACTGACAGTTCTGCAGATAAAATCCGAAATTATCCGGATATGATGGCAAGAGCGACACATCATAATTTTCTATGCCGCTGTCAACTTTGTGTGGATAATAACGGCGGAATAGCTGAACATTTATTTCGATTTTGTGGAACACTTAAAAAAATAGCTACATGAGTGTCAATCGACGTAAAAAAGTGAAAGGTGAAATTTAAAATCGACGGGAAAACCACGGAAACCTCGAGATACCTAACAATAAAAAGTAATGCAAAACAAAAAACAATTATCAACAAAGTAATCAATAAAACACATATGTAAATTTTGAATGAATGTAGATTATTGCCCCCAGTGCAAGCATATTTTGCGTCAGGAACAATCAGCGGCGGCCCAAAATTTCTACTTTACTTAATTAAAAAATAATTGTTTTAATGATTTATTATATTATATTTATAAATATTTATATTTATATATTGAGATGTCCCCCAAGTAAAAATGATTATTTTTTATTTTTGGTTGTTTCACTGTTAGTCTAGAATGGGGTTTTTGGGAAGCCACCAGGTCTAGTAATAACATAACATAGATAAGTGGTTCTGCACTAATGCAGGTATGTTTTTTTTAAACATTGTATATTTGAAATAAGTTATTGTATCTTATAATACCTAAACATTTTAAAAAATACGATTGTACATACATAAAATATTTAAAAAAAAAATTTACTTACTGAGATATTACACTTCACGGTGGATAGGTTTTTAAATATCAAATTATAATAATTATAAAACAGCAACATTTTCATCTGCATATAAATTTTAACTGACCTTCAGGAATCACATGCATCTATAATGTCGTAAACAGGTTTTTGCTTATTTAAAATGATTAAAGCGCCATCCGTTGCACCTACATAAATGGTTATAAAAATTATTTCTTTTAGTTTTTAATAATATTTTATATTCGATTCGATTGCTTTGGATGTGTTTAATTTACTTATAAGTGAACTGATATTTTTAGTATGCTTTTACTACCTCAGATATTTGAAAACATATAGGTTAACCTAGAAAGAGTAACAGTCACGGAGGATAGGTTTTAGACTTTTAAAACATTGTAAAAAATAATTATTTTTTTATGATTTAAAAAAAAGACACTAATGCAAAAATGATGAAAAACTTTCTTATTTTTTGCGTGTACTATCATCCACTTAAAGGATGACAACTTATTTGGTAAAACCCTGCATTATTCAATTTTTGGAACACGCCCCAATTTATGTATGTACCAGTTGATTCTATTTGTCGGTATATAATGGTAACATTATTTAATTAATTTAATTAATTTACTTCTTCAAGCAAATTATACATCTCGAAATTAAAAAAATCGTATCTCAATCGCATGCAAAATTATTTAAAAGGTAAATTTGGTATGGAATTCCCAATATGAGGATTTACATTTGACCGACATACATACTGTATCAAACAAAAATTTAATTACACCTTAAACTGCAGGAAATAATTATGCCGCGTCCTACTTAATCACAATTAAAAATACCTTCGCCCTATTTGAGTGATTGTTACTCGCATTAATTAAAACATTTACGATGAATTTTTTACCTTTGTGTTTCTGATTTTGACGTTTGATTTATTTCCCTGCAATATATTACGATTTAAACGTACCTGGTACGATATTATTCAAAGCAGAACGTTTTAATCAACAGTTAGTTGTCAACACGGTAGTTGGTCTTAATAAAAAAATTCTTAAATGTTGACATGCAAAGGAAAGTATTCGGAAACAGAAATACAACAAAACAAAAAGTTTCAATTTTAATCCATTAAAAAGATGTCCGCCATTTTTACAAAGGTGAATATTTACAAAATTTTACTTTACTTTTAATGCAGTTACCATCGGATATGATTAACCAATCAAAGCACTGTATTTTATGTCGCAATCTAGTGTGCGGTAGAGAATGCCGTGCTCCGATTGGTTAGCAACTTCCGATGTACCACATGGATACTATAGAAAGTTAAATAATTTATAACAAAAATGTAAAATGTTAAATATATTATTATTCAAAGATATAGAGCATCTAATAAATTTTAGTGTCAAATATTGATAAAATAATTAGTTCTATGTTGTTTTACGACAAAACGGTTAAAGTTACAGGTAAAAAGTAAAAAATAGTTTATAGAAAATTTAATTTCTAACAATAAAGTTCTTATGGATTAATGCAATAAAATGCATAGTTTAAAAGATATAGAGAATTTAATACATTGTAAGAAAAAGTCTAATCGTGTCAGATCTGGAAGGCCATTATATTGGTCCTCCTCTAACAATCCACTGTTCTTGATAATTCTAATCCAGCTGCATAATGAGGTGGTGCCCCATATTGTTGAGAATGTTATAAATTTCCATCCAAAGCTAGTTCATCATCCTCTTTGATTTTGATTTTTCCTTAGCCAACCATACACATAAATTTGACATATAACGAAAAAAATTATTCACAATTTTTATGTTCATAAATATTAAATGTACAATGAAAAATTCGTTTAATGAAACATCCATGATAGTTGGACTTGATGAGGATAAGTGCTGCCAAGTCATCCTTTAAAGCTTTGTGTTGATGGAGCCTCTAAAAATTTTCTTCGATGTTTGAATTTTATTTTGAATGATTTCTCCTATATAACCCTCAGCACAAGATGTTGAAGACCATCCCCCCAGTCTTTTCAAATCAGGGAAACTGTCCCCATTATCAACCAACATGGTAGCTGCACTCCTTCGCATACAATGCCCTGTGTAGCTATTGGAATCAGGAAGCTTAAAATATTCAGAAATTTTTCTCGGCAAACTATAAAATGTGTTGATCCCTACCGGTTTCACAGTGCATTTACCATTGCTCCATTTAAAGCAAAAATAAATGCCACTTTTATAAATAGATACGATTCATTCGAAGCTTCATTTAGAAACTTCATAATTTGTTCAATTGACACTTTTGATTTTTTAGGTTGATATCCTTCATTGTTTTTTCAAAAATGCAATTATTTGCTTGTATTTTGAAATGTCACTGCCTTCATATATTTGCAACGTACTCTTCAGCATCGAATATGTTGACCACAGTGACGATGCCTTCAGACTTTTTAACTAAAAAAAACAAGAAAAAAATAGAAAATTTATTTTTTAAAAGCATTACCTTCTACCTTTCCCAAAAAAACGCTAGGATAACATTTTCAGTGACACCTTGTACCCCTTGATTGTTTCTCCATTGACAGAATTGTTCAAAAGTTTTATCATATTTTTCTTTTGACTTAGATTGAAGCAGATTTTGAGTCGCTTCTCTCGCGGCTTAAAAAATACCCTCATTTTCTTCAAAAACACTCTTCCGACAAAATTCTGTTGTGTGATGTTTCAACACCTTCCTAACAGACTCAGGGCACAGCCAAGTTAAGCTTGATGTCAAAGTAGTGATATTGTAGGATCTACACCAAATTGACCAAGAATCTCTTCATTGAGTATCGTGGGTTGGTTTCTTTTTCGATTGCAAACAGATCCCGTTTGTTGAAATTTTGCAACCAGCTCTTGATAAAATTGATTTTCTGCATTTAATTTAAAGTTAAAAAATACTTTCGGAGTTTCCTTTGAATTTGTAACAAAACTAGATTAAGATACTTGTAACAAAGACGTCAGTTTTTTATGAATACGTAAAAGAAAAGTTTCCAAATTTAAATAAAAATCAATACACCTTATTGAGGTTTAAATTAAAAACCATTTTTTATATAAATTTAAAACAAGATGGTTGAATTCTCACCTGTCTTTATTTAACGTTCTAACAATAAAGAATG